TATCCTATAAATACTGCAAACTTCTGTGCATGCATTACCCGTTTCTGCTACTCTTTCCTTCTCATGTCTCTGATGATGGATCCGCGACGGATGCCGAAACGTCAGCCGAATAAAATTATTGTCTCAGCAATCACATCTACTTCTTCTCAATTACCTCCTGGGACCCATATGTTCACTTGTATCGGCCGAATGAGTGATGTTTCACGCTGTGTAACTCAAATCAAACTTGGCTAGTTTTCAAGTGATTTCCACTTTTAAATTTGCGAAAATTCCCATTCAGAAGATAAATTGGCGAACATATGTTTGTTTCCGATAAATTCTCGTCAGGCCCATATATTTATATGGTAATTAAATAAATAAACTATGCGGGTTGGTAGAAAAAATGGGGCAGTTAAGAGGAGAGATCGGAGTCAAAATATCTGATCAGTTCTAGAGGGGGCTGATAGCCGAATGAGGTGAGGGCTGTTAAATTATCGGCTTTCGGTCATGGTAAATGCGACGCCGCGACGAAGTTCTTTTGGGCGCACAGGACCGCTCGGCGTAGCCTGATGGCGGCCCCTTCCGCCGTTTATTTAGTTATTTACCATATTAATGTAAAGGCCTTACGAGAATTTATTGAAAACAAAGGTATGTTCACCAATTTATCTTCTGAGCTTCTCACTTTGTTCAGGTTCACATTCAATCCTGTTCTCACCTGGCCCCTTGGTCATATCGCTCGAGAGACAGCAGACCACTTGGGATGATAGCTACCCTCCTTATAAGTTGTCACGCCTATATTCAATGTTTTGGCCTTCTGGGTAGGTCTCCGCGGCCAACTGCACTCTGACTCCGACTCGGACCAGGAGGAGGCTGGAACGACGAATGCCACGCGAGGCAACAGTGGCACTGTCCTCTCCTCCCTGGTGGAGTTTGGTTCTAACCTCTTCCGACCCGACTTCAAAAAGGTCTCCGTTCGAACGAAGCAGCGTACCAGCGTGAATGCCGCCTCGGCGGCCGCCAC